TATTTATTTTAAATATTTATTTTAAATATTTCTAAATAATTCTAAATAATTTAGAATCTAAATATTTCTAAATAATTTTTAAAAGTTTCCATATAAAACTTCTAATTTTAAAAATGTCAAAATCTTTCCTCACATTTTCCTACCTCAATTTTTAATTGACACATTCTAACAAATTATTTCAAGTATATTTCCTCACCTTACAAGCAAGTAAAACTTCACATTCCTCTGTAACTTCCCAATACAAAAACTCTGAGAAGTGGGGACCTAAGAAACAAAATTGCCTTTAAGCATATGTTGAAGAACGAAGAGTATCAGAGAGATCTAGTGAAAGAAAGAAAAAGGATGACAACTATAACAACCTTACACTAGAACGATGAGAGGGAACTCTTAAACTACACGTGCTCTAGAAGGAAAATCCTGCAGTAAGTTTTTAGTATATTGACCCAGGTGTCTACAGCACAGTTTAGAAAACTGAGGCTCATCTCTGTATGATCAGTCATATAGTACTCCAAAATGTAAAACAGTGAGTGAGACAAATTAGTTTACTAAATATCTCTATGCCCAATTGCCAACTAAGCATAGGAAAGGAACAGAATAGCTACAAACATGTGTACAATATATTTAATGTAAAGGGAACTGGAGAATAAACAAATGTATCCAAACATCCAATTAAACATTCAAAGCAAAAATCTCATGCCAGACATTATTTGTCCAAATTATATAATGTTAAAAAATGTATTAAAAGTTACAAACAGAGCAGGAGATACTGCTTTTCCCCACTGAGGTTCCAATCCTGCAAATATTTATATATCCTTAAGTAGATTTACGGACATATATAGCCTTTTTAAAGATATTGTGGTAACTCATGTCAGTAAATTTATATGTTTTAGTAGCTGCAGGCTGCAGGGCCCATAATTGCAATATTCAGACCTGGGAGGTAGCAAAGTTCCAGGCTTTCACTTAAATCATTGAGAACTGAAAAATCTTTTGAGTTTGGTGCTGTAAGTGGTGTAATCTCTTTCCTAAATCTATTAAATCCAAACCCTCCTCCTTAAAAAAAAAAAAAAAAAAAAAAACACCAAAAAACCCCCATAGAATTCCATTGCTTATGTAGAGAATCTTACTTACACTATTTAGAATAAATGCTTTTAATTATCATTGCTACTTTCAACCTAAAAGCCATGTGCTTTCCAAACTCAATTTTTTAAGGCTTTTACAGTGATAGAATTTCGAATTAGGTATCAGTTAGTAATGCTTACTTTCAACAACAAGCAGTATTGATAATAAGTATATAGCAAAGTAACTGTATAACAACTAAAGAACAAATATATATATGGTTCCTGGAATTTTGCCTGGACAGAAACAAGAAGTTCAGGCTTTTAATCTTCCCTGTCTGACACTATGCTGTCTACTCTTCCGTCAATTATACTGAAAGGACAATTTATATGCTTAAAATGCTGAAATGTTTTGTTGGATCAGAGCCTATAGTAGCCACACGTCTCATGGATGCTGAGCAAAGATAACCCCCTGTAAGAATTCCCACTTTTCTGCTCAACTTAGTGAAAGTACTATCACAATTTGCATGTATCATATGACAATGTTGGAAAATAAGATCCACCAAGGGTTCAGCATCTCCTCAAACTGGGCAATATACTCATCTTCCAATGAACTCAATAGAATTTGGAAGTACTTAGTACAGGGATGCATCATTAGCTGCACACTGGGCCTAGAGTCACCAATCTACTCTTTCTTACCTTGCTTCCTCAGAAATTCCTTTCGCTGGAGCTCAGACTCAGCCAATACTGCCTTGAATGCTAGATTTCAGAAGGGGTGAATGAAAAAATAGTTAGCTGCAAAACCACTCAAAGAATAATTGAAGTTCATTCCTTCACCAAAGACAAAGTTCCAATGCTTCAGCGAACGTACCATCTCCAATGAGAACTAATGAGGACTGGTTCTTGGCCTTTCCATCTTGAATCTGTACTGTGTAGGTACCCTCATTGTCAATTGTAAATCGGTCCATCACCATTTCTATAATGCCGTTTGAATGATCACAATTTATTTTATGCCTCTGAAATAAACAAGTAATAACTTTAGTATAGTAGAAATTACTTATGATTGCCTATTGAATTAGTCTTGTTTTATATCTCTGCCTCCACACTCAATCTTTTTCATGTCCTTTTAATTGTAAACCATGGAAACGGTTGTGCTTTTATTTACTATGATACAACAAGATCCCAGTGATAACAGAAACCTCTGTGTGCAGCTGTGTTTAGAATCCTCAAGTAAACATAATACAGCTGGTTTGGATTTAAAAATAATAGTTTGTGGCACTATGTATGTTTGAAGAAGAGTATACACAGCCAGCCTTTCGCTGCATTACAGCTTCCAATTCAACAGGGGGGTTTGTAAGACTGAAGCACTATTTCTAGCAGAGTTCAGAAACAGCTGGAAGTATCATGTTTGTAGACACAAATGTGGATCTCCAAACAAATGCAAAAAGTCTTCACTACTAAATAACTCTGAGGCATACGTGGCAGCTCAATACTGGATCTTATTTTCTCACTAAAAAAGCTTATTTAGAAAGGCATAATGATTTACTCATCTAATGCTAGGTACTGTTTTCAAACAATGAAGTGCAAGACCATGAGAACAGTAACTTGTGCAAAACTAACAAAGCTTCTGGAAACTAAACAGATCAACCAAGTCCAGCAAAAAAGAATTAGAATTCTGTCAAAATCCAGTTATCTACTAAAGTGCTAGCAGAATACCTAAAACAGCAAATATTGACTTGAATTCAAAATTAATTATGCTTTTCGCTGTTTGTGTCCTTTTTGTGTTTACTTTCTATTAAATATTCCATGAAGATAAATTATTGGCAGGCATTGTCAAGGAAACAGAAAATTGCAAGCAAATATTGGACCATACTTGCAAAATATGTGTTTTGAATTTGCAGGTACTGTTTTAGATACAGCCCCTTTTTAAGAAGTAATATTCTCTTTCATTCAGTGAGTAACAACCATGAGGACTCTGTGTCCCACTAACACTGATGTTGTTTGAATCTCAACTAAGAGATTCCTAAAGCAAAGCAAAAATAACCCACGGAAGATACCTGGTGAATACTTTCAGGTAACCTATGTGGCCAAGGATATTACAAATTAACTGTTCCTTTCAAGATGGGACAGAAAAGTAAATGTCAACATCTAGGAGGAGTTCTATGCAGTACATTATTATAGACAGCATTACTGTTAAAAGGAGACAAGATACCCTGTAAACAGAATGTTTTGATTAACCTCTTTTTGGACTCCAAAACTAGAACAAGGTACTGAAAAGTAGGTACCGGTAGATAAAGTTTAGGAAAAAGGAAGAAAGAAGGAAGGGGGAAAAAGCTAGTAAAATTACCACTTATTAAACCCTCTGGAACCACTTCCTTAAGTGAAAGAACCTTTAAATACTGATCCAAAATTAGTAGGAAATCTCCTAAAGGTGTAACTGCTTCAGCTTTGAGGAACACCTCCTGGCCAGCCTCAAGAACAGATTAACTGCTGTATGGACAAAAAGCCTGGAAGAATAGTGATTAGACAGACTCAAGATGTTTAGCATTCATTGATGGTACCTTCAAACATACAACTAGTACTAGTTTAAATCTTAATGGGGTAACTGAAGAATGAAGAGAGAGAAAAGATAATGGAATTAACAAAGCAGTAACCAACAGATTGATTAGGAAAACAATTTATGAAATAAATTACTTAGAGGTAAGAGACTGAGGTATAACTTTTATGTAAAATAACAGGGGAAAATGTTCATACCATTTGGATATGCACTTTCCCATATATAGTTCCAAGAAAGATATGATGTCAAAGAATAAGACAAGATTTAATTAATCAAGTAGAAAAATTACTCATGCAAGAGTTCACTGGTAAGAGTTGAGGAGACAGGCCGGGTAGGTTAAAAAGAGAAATTATAAACTTCATCAAACTATCAAAAAGTGCAAATTCAAATTCTCGTTTATAGTCTCTCACCCACAAATGTCAAGGACATCACTTACATTTGTTTCACGAGCTCTCCAGGAAAATGTTAAATTGAGATTTGCCAGAAGCAGAAAAGACGAGCAATATGTAATTTCTAATCTGATCCTTTATCATACTTCTAGATTATTTTTTTTATTTCTTGCTTTTGGGTAAAGGAAAAAAATATTGAAAGATTAAAATGACATTCTGATTAAACTGAGCCCAGTTTGCTCCATTGTCAGTTTATTTTGAAATCACTGAAACCATTCCTTGTTAGGACCTAGAAGGAAAGATTTATCACTTCAGACAATGTCAAGAATCAGACTACAATTCACCAGCGTAACGGACTATTGAACATGTGCAGCGACTGTAGCCCAGTCTCCAGGCAGGTTTTAGAGTGTAATTAGGCTTATAACTATTGCCATTATGCAGCAAGATGAAGTTCAATGATTTTATGGGCACCATAAATACTAGGATTTTATGTGACTTTCCACAAAAATATCATCAGTCTCAAAACATAAATGTCACCTGTGGGTTACTAATTAAAGAGGTGAAGTAATGCAGTTCCAAGTCAAGACTCTCTCTGATGTCAACACTTCCAAAACATATGCAAACTAAAAATAGCTCATTATGTTCCACTAACATTGCCAAGACAGAATACTGTCATTTCAATACAACCTAGTCACTAATATTCAGGCTTTCACTGCTATAGTGTATTACTTCTTAAAGAAAAGGTAAAAAAAAAAAAAAAACACACAAAAAAAACCAAACGACCAAACTCCACTTCTTCCACTTCTCTGGCCAAAACCAGGCTTTGCATCCTCAGGAATAAACTGAACCTTTCAAACAGCTGCACTGGAGATGGATCCCTCATAGGAAAAGATATGCCTACTGCTCTCCTTTATGCCTAGTAGATGAACCATATGCCAGCCCTGCAAAGGCACAACCTTGCTTTCTCCTCGGCCCAATCTGATCACTTTTTTGTGTTCCTTTCTATGAAAGGTCTTCCTAGAGCTATAAAAATGCAGGAAGCTGGTGGCCTCCCCTTTCATCTCCATGCAGCCATTCAATGCCCATTTAGTGTCTAAGCCAAAGTAAAATAAAAAGAAATAAAGTGACACCACTTAAAAGTTTTACATCTATGACCATTGTGGCATTGTCAAGTGCCTCCCACATTATAAGTAAAACTAGTAACAGCAGCTTCAGGAGGTCTCTAGGAACAGCATGTCTTGATGGTTTGAAGTTCAAAACTGTACTTGAAACAGCTTTTTTTTGTCTTGAGCTATTTTTCCAAAAATATTTGTGCACTACTTTTAATCAGATGCATTTAACACTGATCTGTGTCTAATTTCTCCTTCTCTTTGGCTGTTGGTCATTTAGCTACCCAAAATGAATATGGATTTCTGTGGGTTAAACTTTGGTCTCTTTTTTTTTTTAATAGAAATAGGGTCACCCTGTAACAGGAATTCTATATCGCAAAAAAGATTCAAATTAAAAATTGGTATTCCTTTCAGGTATTATCAGACCTTAAACATGGTTTTAAGCAACTATAAAAATAGAATACCTTTTAATGCATAAAGGCTTAATTAAAAAAATCATACATACATAGCGCATTCAATATGTACTTACATCACTGTTTTCCACTTCTTTATCATTAATAACGAATCTGAAGGAAGAATCTGGTGATAAGCTTTCAGCCTGAATCCAGAAACGAACTTCTCCTTTCTCAAGAACCTCATAAGCTAATTCTGATTTCAGCGGTATTGCTACAGAAAGAAAAGCAATCAAAAGTCAATAATGCATGAATCCTTGTGAGAAAATGGGCTACTGTAGTAAAACACTAGTAATATCTATTATTTACAAAATGCTGGATATAGAATACATTTTTTGCAGGGAAAAGACATCTAATGTAGTCTTTGGCTGATTTTTAAATTAGTTTCTCAAAGGAAGAAAAGAATTTACTGCTTATGGCTTGCACATTGTTTAAGGAATTGGCTAGTAGCAACCTATTGTCAAAGTTAAACTTCAAAAGACTTTTAGACAATTATTATTTTATTCATTGCAAACTAATACTCTTCCAAGTGAATGGAAAAATAAGGAAACAAGTTGTTCCATAAAAAATGAAGCTGCCCTTGTCTCAGGAAGAACCTTTTTGGAACTCCAGTCATTAGTGTTGTATTTCTTCTAGAAGTATCAAATAGATTCAGGTCTTCAACTTACTCGGATTCCTTATTTCATTGCTTAATGCCATCAAACGTTCAAGCTCTGAAATTAAGAAAAATACTCATTTTTTAATTTATTCTGAAAAATACATTCAGAAAACAAGTGTCCTAGAAGGTACATATCAGCATCAACAGATAATCTCCTTATGTTTCATATGTGAAATACCTAAACTAACTCTTCAGAAAATGATGACTGAAGAAAAATAAGATTTAAGAAATTCCAAATTCTGATACATGGATTTAGCAAGTGTTCCTTTTCATACATTTTCATGCAAACTTTCTTATAAAAAAAGCTAAAAAAGGGACAACATCTATTTTGAACTCTCTGTGGGATTTAAATGAGAGATGAGAGACAGTAGCTTCTAAGCAGTGTATGAGGTTCCTTTATCTGCTGACTTCCTTTCTGACGCTGACCCTGAAAAGCTTGGTTTACTGCGGCAGAAAACAAGATTGAGTGCAAATCAGTCTGAAAAAGGTACATGAAGTTCTATGTCATGCACTAAATCGTCATGAAGGCTGCATGAGAGTCTAGAAATCACTTTGTTAGATTTTCATACTAACCCTATTTATCATATTCATTACTAATAAAAATTTGGAAGCTGAACACTTGCCAATTCCAAATCTACAGATAAAGACCAGAGGACATTAACAAGCATTTATATCATTGAGGATCTAGCAAAATTACAAGAGAATTTCTAGCATTTGAGGAAGTGTGAAGTAAAATAATGCTTTTCAGTGCCAAGATACAAAATCTGACACTTGTGTAGGGATCCAGTACAAACAAAAGTGTAAATTTGAGTGACAAATACGACCAGGAAAAACACAGGCTAAATGTGGGATGGGAAACAGTTTCAGTACTCTTATACCAAAAAGCCTGCAAAAGTAGAACTGACAGTGACAAGACCTACAGACAGGTTTCACAGTAATGCTTCAGAACTAAGTCAAAGGGAAGTTCCCATGGTCAAACCCGAATCTGTCTTTTCCTACAGCTTTAATCGGAAAATTGAAAATATTACAAGTTTAGCTTCCTTAGAAGAAGCAGATATTGGTAGTAAACAAGAGTCCACATAAATGGTCCATGTCCTGGAGAACATTTTTTTTGTGGCTGCACATGTATTTCTTCTGAACACCCACCCTGAATGGGCAGCTTGACATGGTTCACACCATGATAAAAGTTCTGTCCGCAATCCGACTCATGCTCAGACTCATCTCCTTTCCTTAAATAACTTAGAAAAAGGGTAACTAGAGGGATTTTCATACTTAAGGAACTGGGCATAGCAATTAAAGACTGTGGACTGGGAAAGAGCCAAAGTAATTTTTGTGCTATTTAAAAACAGCGAAGTCTCCGCCTTTGCCTTTCACCTCAGCACCTCTCAATGGTAAACCAAAGTCAGACTGAAGCAAATTCACTGCAACTCCAATGAAACAAAACAGCTACAATGAAACAAAGCAAAACTAACTGAATTTATGCCAAAGGATAATTTAACTCAATGTGTTCAAATCTCATTAAAGCAACATCCTTTTTCTCACATTCTTCTCACAGATACTCTGCATCACAGTTATATGAAACTCTATCTACAGCCTCAAGGTCTATATTAGACTCCTTGGTAAGCCGAGGTCTGCCGGCAGCTTTACAGCTGACATAGAACCACTTATTACAAGATGTGAAAGGCTATAAAGACAAAGCACAACAAAATTGACATACCAGAGAAAGAGATTCACAGAACTGAAAAAAGCAATATCTTCAGACACTTAACTGAAAGTATAACCAATATTTGCAAACAGAACTATAGTCCCAGCATAAAGAAAACAAGTCTGATTGGGCATAATCTTTAGCTTTTTTTTTAAAGAAAATATTGCCTTAAGTCATCCCAAATTTCATTATTGTGATAATCAGAAAAATAAGTAATCACACAAAGCCATTTGTCTGGTCTTTTTTGTTTATCCTTAATGCATAGGAAAAAATGTGAGAGTTGTGACGCTCGTTTTTTTGTCTTGGATAATTTTTAGTGCAGTAAAGGTGATAAAATGAAGAAAGACTTGAGATGGTAAGGAACTTACCTTCATCATCCATAACAAAGCTGGATGAAATCCCATCTGTGTCACTAACTGAGATAGAGTAAGTTCCCAAGTCTGATATATCAGGATTTTTGAAATACAGCTTAGAACTGAAATCATCAATAAAGAGGGATATAATTAACAGGGTTTCTCATGTTGTTGTGATCTTTTAACAGGACAAACTTCTAATAATTTGATAGACTTGCAAGACTTACTGATTTCCTTCTGTTTCAATCTTAAACTTATCAGTATCTTCAATCTCCTCATATGATTTACCCCACACAAAATGAGATGCATCAGTAGCTTCTTTGCAATCAAAAGCCAGGTAAATATTGCCCTCATCATCCACACCTGAAAAGATTTCTTTTGTTCCTGCAAAATAGGAATCAACCCAAATGTCAAGGCTGCATTTTTCTTTTGAGTTGCAATTCAGAAATTTATGCAAATTTTGTCCATCTTCACTGACAGATACTGATCTTGCAGATCTTGAATCATGTTTATGTCATATGCTGATTCTTCATCACATACTAGCAAGATTCTTACTCTACACAAAAAAGGAATACTAAAAATAATAAATCTGTAAAATGAAACTGAGTATGAGAAGATATGAACAGTTTATGTAAATTAATTTTATTATCACTCGAAGCTTCCCTTCCAAAAATCAGCACCTTTGTTTATGAGAATAAAAACTAAAATAACTGATTATCAAATATGTCCTGTAGTAAGTAAAGCAAAAAGTCTTGACAGTGCTTCTGTCTTCGTATTTTTTATTTAAGTTTTAACTCTAGGAGCTTCTTAACTATTGAAATACTTATCTGTGCTACAATACCAAATCAGATTGATTAAATTCACTTCTAAGTATTTTAGTATTTTAGAAGCAGAAGAGATAAAACAGTTCATTACCTGGCCGCATCTCGACAAGCACTGGTTCAGATATCTCAGATGACTTGCCTACCCCAGCATCATTTACTGCACGAACTTTTAAAACATAAGTATGACCCTCATGTAAATCAGTGACCTTGAACAAGATAAAGAGCAAAGCCAATTTAAAATACAATCTAAACTCCTTTATTTATATGAATATGTCAGCAGAAGCCCAAGTTCAAACATACATCTTTGTTGTACTCAATCAGATGTTTTTAGTACTCCGTTTTGAATGACCACTAATTAATTAAAATGTTACCTTAAAATAACGTTTCGAAGTAGGTTTTTCATTAGCAGTAATCCAGTCTTCTGTATCTACTTCCTTATAGTCCACTAAATACCCAGTAATAGGGCTTTTGCCTTCATACACAGGAGCTTTCCACAGAAGAACCAGTGATGTATTTCTAACTTCACAAACCGTGAGCTCATAGGCAGGACCTAAAATATTTCAATATTGAAAGTTCACTTTAATATAATAAACTTTTGCAAACAGGCTCTGTAGAGGCTGAAATGCACCGCTTTAATTTTGTTTTGACTGTGTTTGCTTTCAAAAAATCTCATCCTTTACAGTAAACCTGGAATATGTGGTATTTAGGTCATTTTCCCCTCATTGCTGCATACAGCAATACCTGCTTTATGCAGTAAGTGACATTAGTATTCTGAAGCATACATTCTTAGCTAGATCTCAGTAAGTGCATTTTAAGGGAAAGTTATTCATGTGGAAAATCCATGAGGTTTAAAATTTTCCAACAACTAACAGAGCTATCTTGTCCATTATTTAATTCACCAGCTCCACATCAAAGTTGCTTCAGTGAGCCTGACTCAGGTTCACAATTTAGGATGAGGATTTTTAATTTTTGTTGGTGTACATGGACCATGATTCTTTGGATTTATCCAAAACCCACTGGCACCCGTGGACTTTGGATCAAGTTTCTTGTTCCCTGACAGAAAAATTTTACATTGGAGGTGGGTAATGAAAGCCAAGAAGAAGGATATCTAATAAGAGAACTATTTACACCAAAAACATCCTGATGTTCTGTGAATAAATGTGAGTTCATACCTTTGCAGCTACCAGGTTATGTACTCCCTACTACACTTTCCTTCTCCTTCACTTAACTGTTCTAGTGCCATTCAGTTTGAATTGTAGCATTTCTCTTCTATTATACTCTTGATATTTATTTTTACCAGTAGATTATAAAGGCATAATCATATCAGTTTACTACAATGGTGAAAACATCCATGACAAAATACTGATATTCAGCCAAATAACGTAGTTGGAAGCTTGCTTCTGGTGCTTTAAATTTAGAGTAACAATACCTGAAAGTACCTGAGATTTACTTAAGGATTTTCTCAGTGTTGTCAGTTTGGCCTAATTCAAGATATTACTTTTACCTACAGGACATTTTACCATTTAAAATAAAGAAGAGTAGAAAAACTTTACAAATAAACCTGATTGTCATTCCAGCCTACAGGATGTCAACCAGTAATGAATGAACATGAAATTTGTAAAGGATGATTGTAAGGATCAGTCTGGCTCATAGTTTAAACAGGTTTCAGTAATGTCCAGTGCACCAGGCAACTCATGGGGGGTTGCAGGAACAACTCAGCTTTAGATTGCCTTGAGGCCCTATTTCTGCAGAGACAACCCATGGGGAGCTGTAGATAGCTCAGCCCTGAGTTGTTTGGTAAGCAGAAAACTAAACAGGGCAGAGCTGCATCATTCAAAGAACTGAAACCTGAGTTGAGCCTTGAAATCCCCCAACCCGGAGCCCCAATCAAACCACTATTAAGTTACCTAAAAGTAAGACAAAGATAAGCGGGAGGATTTCTGTCTGGCTCCAAGGGACCAAACAATACAAAGATATGCAAGAAACAGAGCATACAGAAGGGAACATCACCCATGAATAACTAAAGATAAGGGGAAACACTGCTAAAGACAAACACCCCAGGTGGTCTAATCCACCCAGAAACACTGCTGCCTGCTGTCGCATACATCAGGAAATAAAAACTCCAAGATTCACGCTAGAAATGGGGAGTTACTTCTCCAGCCATTGAGTGATGAGAACATTCCCCCTTGGTCGGGATGCCAGCCAAGGTAACTTACGTGGGAGCCCTTACCTGGAGGGGTAAGTGAATATTTGGCAGGCTTTAAATTTGTAGTTGCAGATGATTGACTAATACACGTGTGGTATTCTGAGTTGTTTGTGAGCTGTGATAGTGTGTTCCATGAATCACCTGGGAATTGTAATAGTGAATTTTGTGAGTGGTCTGCAGCCTGTCATGAATTGCCTGTGGGCTGTAATAGAGCATCTTGTGAATGTCTTGTGGTTGTAATAGTGTAGTCTTGCTTTTAAAACTGCAATAGCGCATTTCTCCATTGTATCCATAGAACCTGCAATAGTGATGTACTGGATCTGCACATGTTGTTCAATTAAATTGTTAATTTGAACTCTGCAATAGAGCCTCTTTTTGTCACAATGATATTCAGCAAATATACTACAAAAAAAAAAAGAACAGTAGAAGAGTGGTTCCTCATAGTAGATAAACATATTTCAGGAAAGAAATATGTAAGTACCTGTTGCAGACTAGATTTCTCATGAAAAGACTGCCATTTTCAAGAAGCCTAAAGCCCTCTGTCAGGGCTCTTTAAAAATTACAACCTACATATCTATATGTCCACAGATAATTAAAATTCCACTGGCAGATGCATCAGAAGAAAATGTGTAATGAAGTATGTTCTGTTCTGAGGATTCTGAGACTACAGACATTTCAATTTTTTCAAAGTCATGTAAAATAATTCATTAGGTATCATTGCTAACTTACGGAGGCACACAAAGATACCTAAGACTAGAGTTCTGCAGAAGAATGAAATAATTATGGGCTCTGGGTAAGGAATCCATCACTCATGCTGGAAATCCTTCAAGGGGCTTTGGCCTTTCTAAGGAAACTTCCTTTCCATATCAAAAGGTAGAAGAATATTTCATTGACACTGGGAGTTTATTGCAGGCATATTACATTAATCTTCAGTATCTTTAGTAAGTCAGGGAAGAGGGTCAACCTCTTTCTCCCAGTCTTAAATCTCAATTATTTAATTTCATTATTTCTAAGCCATTGCTAAAAACTTATTCTAAAAATGGCTTGTGAAATATTTTAACAGGTTTGGCAATTTGTAGGGGATGAGAGGGTTGGTTGTGGTGTTTTTTTAAGCAGGAAGAATGCAATACTCTCTCTTCAACTGGTTTCATAATGAGAACAAGGTAATCAGCCAAAGAGTAGAAAGGTCAGACTGTTCATTATGAAAATGGAAATTTCACTCTCTTCATTTCTTGAAAGTGCTTTTTATTTTATTTCTTTATGTATCATTTAAAATGAAGGGTAATCTTCACTTGTTTACACACTAGGCAATTTTATTGACATTCTGAAAACACAGTAGAGAGTGTAAATCACAGATCCTTTCTTTAAGGAAAATAATTGTTCCATCGATGATGCATTTATACTAAATATTACAAAATGAGAAGAAAATGTAATTAACACAAAGGGAGGTAAGATCAGGAGAATAACCATTTTGTTATTGACAGCTTTGCCATGTCATTAAATCCAGACCAGAAGGTAAGATTTATGAAATCAGAAGAATTTAGCTAGAAAGCATGGAGAACAACTCCAATAAGAAATTTCACATAAAAGAATCTGGGATTAAAAACAAGTAAACTTGGCATAACAGTGTAGTTTTTTAAAAAGACAAATAGAAGGGAATTTGTCACCAGGCAAATAATTGTAGGAGGTGTGGAGTTACTGTTTCTCCACTCAGCATTAAAAAGCTTTATTTGAAATAATGTCTCCAGTTTGTGCACTGCCATTCAAGAACATCAACCAACTAGAAAACGTTCGAGGAATAGCAAAAAAAGTTTATTTAGACATAGAGAATACATGCTCTATGGGGAAATGTTGCATGAATTGGACTTTTTCAACTTAAGGGGTCTGATAAAGTCTTTAAACACATAGAAAAGCTGTTGCCAAGAGGAAAATAATAATCTCTTCTTCATATTCTTGGTGGACAAGATAAGAAGCAAACAGGCTTAAATTGCAGGAAGAAACATTCAGGAATATTAGAAAAACTTTTAAGCTGTAAGCATAGTAAGATTGGGAATAGATTTTTTTTCCCAACCTGGCCTTTTTCATGGATGGAAGTCTTTAAGGATGAGTTAGACAGGCTTCTGTCAATGAGATAAGTATAGTTGATCCTGTGTTTGGGTAAGCAGTTGAATTAGATGACATCTGAGAGTCTTTCCTAGTAAGTGATTCCATGACCTTACTGAATGATTTCTTTTGAAATTGTCCTGCCTTCTTATGTTAATTATGTCTTTTTAAAATCACTAAAAATTCCAATAGTTTTACAAAAACAGATTTAGAGGCTGAATTTTTTTTCTTTACTGAGAAAATAACTGCTTGAACATTTAGGCATGAAACAGATGTGTGTAGGTGTCAGAGAACTCCTGAAGACATAAACAAGTATTAAAATTGATCCTTAATTGCATACCAGAGCTGAATGTCATAAATAGAATTTGATTTAACAATGCAGCAGTATTTTACAGCATTCTGAGGAAAAGAAGGTAGAAATATATTAAAGTGGTAGGTGCTTATGTTTTCATTATAGACTATACTGTGTCACCCTTTGTTCAGGCAAATCAGTACCAGACATCAGAAACAGCTTCAGCAAAAGTGTTGTTCGGCATGAGCAAGAGTGTTATAAAATAAGAAAATGGGCCTTCAAACACCCTTTCATAGAATATCTACAGAACTCTAGCATTACTCAGAGGAATCAGTTCTCTAAACATCTAATACCTAGGGACAAATTTATATGATCACATGAGATAGACTAAAGTTTCACTTTCTTTTGCTGGGTTCCTGGATTCACACAATTTCTTTTTTAACATGCTTTGCAAATTTAGCATGGCAATTAATAGTCTTCAGCTACATCTACACTGCTAAACGACAGACAACCTAAACACATGTTTGAGTAGTAGCACACAGTCATCCCTACTGTGTGTTTGTTAGCACATTTGTCCTAACACCTGACTAATTATCTCTCAGGCAACACCTGGGTACAATCTGGGGAAAACACATAAATAAGGCCACACTAGTTGAGACTAAGAGACTTTAGTTGCAAGGTGTGAGCTATACTATACTACTTGCCTCTTTGTCAAGAAACAGGCCCCTGTTCCATCTTTTTTGTGAACAAAAACCATAGTTTTGGAGTCTGAAGATTCAGGAATATTCTTAATAGACTGCAATTATGGTGCAGGGATGCCTATGTATTGTATAGGTGGTGAGTGTGAGGTGGAGCTTGTAGGTCTGGGGATGGAAAGACAAAAACAGACTAAAGTCTAAAGACTTCCTGCTCTGAGCTGATAACGACAGTGACAGAAGCAGACTCAGCAAGCTTAGTAAAGGTCATGCACTTCCCAGGACATCCAGTGTCATCTGTGGGGATGTGGAAGTAGCTTTTAACAGATCTCAGAAGCAATGGCAAATTCAACAGGTAATATGGCAGAAATTAACCATCCAGCAGAATTTGGCTGGATTATTACACTGACTATGTTTTAAGGAGTTGATATTGAATTGAAATTAATGATGAAATAATAGACTTACCAGGCTCTGGCATAGTCCAGGCTTTACACTTAAAATGCTCACTGGGATCTGAAGGTTGACCTATTCCAACCAGATTTGCAGCAGCAACTTTGAATTCATAGAAGGCATCTTCTGTCAAATCCTCTACCTTTTTTGAGAAAACAATTCAATACATCAACAGTCATTATTTATATTCTTTTAACAAATTAAATACTTAGAAATAAGAATTCTGACATTGGTTAATTATCAGGCCTTACTGCTGTGCTGGAGTACTGGAAGTATCTAATTTGAAGATTTTACTCTGATACTAAACACAATGCAGAGATCTACATTGTACTTCCATGTTTCAGCCACATCATCCTAGGAATAACAGTACTCAGTATATTGGCATGAGAAGAAAGGTCCAGGGAGCCCACCCAATGAACAACCACTAGCAGATACATCTGAGTTAGTTTTCTAACACGAAATACCTTCTTTCATTGCCTATGAATGACTACTCACAAGCCATTCACTTAAGCAAAAGTTTGAACAGTATTTTGGTCTAAGGAGGTCACAGTGGACTGACCAGGAAGAAAGGAAAACAACAAAAACTAAAGGAAAAGCCAATCCAATTAGTTCAGCAATGTACTGATACAACTCTGGGAAAGACTTTTGCAGTAATTTTTTCTGGCTTGTATGCGTCTTTCTCTCACTATTACCTACCATTACAAAGTGAGGAAGTAAGCACTGGAAATGGGATTGCTAGAATCCATGCTATACATCTGCAAATCTCCCTAGTAAATCAATCCTGACTTGTCTAATAAGTTCATCACCACATCACCATCTCAGATTTTGAGGTCAAGGTAGACAAGCTATAAGGCATGAGATTTGTGACACCCTCAGCACATCACAGTAGCAGCTCTCTTCCAGACCACCTAAATACAATAAACAAGTCTAGATCTCAGTCCTTTGCATAATTTTCCAATAATTGTATTCAATCATATGTCTCAAGAGAAACAGTCAGCTGAGGATAATACTTCTAGTGGAGATACTGAACAGTTTTAGATTTTCACTAATAAATATAACTATATTCTCTGGGAAAATGTGAGATAAAGAAAGGATTTTGGTGTAGTTTTTTTAATGGTATCAAACATATGATGGGGTGATAACAAACGTATGATGCAGTAGCATCAAATATAAGACCAAATCAAACAACATAAGCTAGAAAAAGTCAGGCACTAATAAAATTCAGATAGAATTTCCTGAAGACAGAGACCTATATAGTGATTCACAAGAGAGAATAACAGCTCAGCCTATAAAAACAGTTTTCAAATCCCAGGTTATGAAGGGAAAGAATATTTGTGGGGTTCCCATAGAATTATTTAAACAGAGTAGGTTAAACCTTTAGTGATTTTCCAGTGCTGTACTGTATATCTCAGGGCCTTCTCTGCTTGCAGTATGCCATAAAATATTCTGTTCTACTAAAAACTGTCTTGCTTTTATTTCCCATCAGTATTTCAGATTCCAGTCATTCAAACTAATGTATGAAGATGCACCTTCAGGCACAAGTACAGTTACTGGTAGGACTGAGACTTAAATAAACACTGAATGGTTTCCCTTAATTTACATTAGTCATTTGTTTATAAATGCATTAAAAATGAAAATATCTGGAAAGCATTGCTTAGTATTGCCCTTTCATACCTATCATACCTGCCTTTTTTTTTTTCTCAACATCCCTGCTCCATCTGCTATGTCAGAGGTGCCAGTCACAAGCATACACTCACCTGAGTACTTCTGGCTGCCTTCTGTGCATGAAACATTCTTCTGAGCTCATCTGTAGCATTATTTTCTACTTTAGTGTCAAATATTTGCTAAAGACTTATTTCTGCCCTGAGGTTTGTAGGAAAGTTGCTGACTTGCAGAAATAATTTTAAGAAGAATTTGGGAATAAAATCTGATTGTTTAACTTAATTTAACAAAAGTCAGATTGATTAATTACTTGCTACATCCTATCTTCCTAAACTTTCTTCATGGAAGTTCATATCAAAATTTTCCTTTTAAGAAACATTGAATACATTGCAAGTGCAACCAGAAGTGATTTATTTCAAAGCTACAATCATCGCTCTGGTACTCTGGAAAAGAGGCGATGAGGCATAATGCTAGGTTTATTAATATACTTCCTTTTCCAGCTGAAGGCAGATTTTGAGAGTAAGAACAGGGACAGTTACATTTGTTCTCAGCCCATCAGAGATACAAGTCTCCAGTTCTACAGACAGCATGATCATCTATCCTGCTAAATGCTTCCATCCTTTCTCTGAATGTTATTACAGTCGTGATAAATACAGTGCTCATTAATGAATATAGTTTATGAAGCATTTTATAGTTCTTCTTGTTCTTTTTGAAAAATGTACTTCACAACTTTTTCCTCAAAAGTTTCCTCATCTGAATGGCCTTATTGTTCTTTGAATTTCATAGCAGGGGGTGACACTGATTCTCCACCCCAGTTTTTAGGTATGCTGCACTCAAAACTACGCAATGGAAGGGCCTGGTTTTGTTGTAGTAAGTATTTAAAGAACTTCTCTGCAAGGAAGTAGAACTCTGCCAAAGCAAAGAAATAGTACAAATCAACCCCAGAAAGATAATGATTAAAAAGTACCAACCGTATAAATTGTCCGGATAATAAGGGAAGAATTGACTTCATGCCAGTTTTCATGGTTAGCTTCCCGTTTATCCATATAATAACCAAGGATTGGTGAACCTCCACTGTACCTTGGTGCTTTCCAGCCAAGGGTCATTGAATGACCATCACAGTTCAAAAGTGTGATACCATGAGGATATGATGGACAAGCTATAAGGAAGTTGAAAGTTAGGACAGAGTCTAAAATCCTGGAGTGTAGAAGTTGCTTAGCTTTTTTTACATTGCTGTTGTTTTCTGCAGCATATTGCTATCAGTTGCATAACAGTAACAAAGTAATTGTAAACCTGCTAATCAACATTAATTTTAGCTACAAAAATAAATGTGGAAACTTTTCAAACAACTGCCTAATGTGCTGCCTTCTCAGGAGACAGCAACAGGGAATAGATGGTGTTTGGTAATGTCAGCAAAAGTGTCTCCAAACCAAACATTATGCTAGAAGATTGAAATGGATCAGAAGATCTATTCCTGCCAAGAATTAAATAAGCTGCTCAAGTACTTTTGAAATACAGTAAGAATCATCCAGTAAGGAAGAAAAAAAATGTTATGAATGTAAATGAAATGAAGTCATACTACTGATCTATGGCCTTCATGGTTTTCCCCTCCTATCCCCCTATTATATGCCTGCTTCAGACTGAGAGTGCTTTCTGCCCTATAAGGAATACAAAATATTTAGGCTTTCATTAGGTTAACCTATGTTGAGGCAGAAAGACATTTCCTTCATGAGTTTACACCCACCTGTAGCAGAAGCAGAAATGTCACCCAAGCACCTTCCTAGAGAATAAGAAAACTGTTTTCCTAGCTTTTTACACCCCTACTACTAGCAAACAACCTCTCTAGCAAGCGCTGTTTTGTATTTGCCATCAGTGCATAGAAGTTTGCCCAAGTATACCCCTTTCTTGACCTGTTGTGCTACAGGCTAAGCTCCTGCCCTTAAAGCTCACCTGATATTTTCATCTGAATTACTAGCATAACTTGAGAGAATGTGGCTTACCTCATTCAGAAAAGAACATGTTAGCAGGGGCCCTTAATACAGTCCCTGATCTTGTAGCCGTACTAGTGATCAGCATGAAAACAGATAGCAATCAGCAGAACTGGCCTTTTGTTCTTTTTTTTTTAAATGTGTTTTTGTACTCAGAGGCCATAAAACATACCCTTTGCAATTATTACCAGTTCTTGGTAAATAAGAATGACCATAGCAAACTCCTATGAGTGCCCTTAAAATAATACTGCGGAAAGATTTTATCTGTGCTCATGTTAGTCGCCTATAAATAGTCCTGCTAAATTCCTGTTAAGGCTACCAAAATGGATAAAAGCCATCCACATCCCATAAGTGTGTGTAAGATCCACGTGTTCTGTGTTTGGTGACATACCCCATGCAATCCTCAACTTCAAAACACACAGTGACAAAATAGAAGGTGCAAGTTCATTTACAAAAAAGGGGTGATAGATGTGAAAGTGTTTGTGCACCACCTACCCATATGAGACACACTTTGTCCTGGAAAAATCAAATAGAGTAAGTTTGTCAGTAACATTCAAATTTATCTTGTAATAGCCATTTTGAATTATAAATCTTTTAGAGGATTATTTCTGACAAGTTTGCTTGTTGAATGGTCTTCTCCAAGAGGTGGAGGCCATATGGAGTAGTGAAAAGATATTATATTTTAAATTTTTCAGAATGAAACTGAAATTGTACAGAAATTAAAACTGCACCATAGTAGCCCAGATGTGGGCTACTGTGTACTTTTTGTTCTAAGTAACTATCCAGCCCTCCACAGAGCATGTATCATTCTTACTGAAGGTTGCACAATGGATTACACTTACACTGAATGTTTGCCTGCAGGTACCAGAGGAGATAGATTGTGCTCCAACCTGGAGTAACTAAAGGAAATATTCTGTTTGGTCCAGCCACACAATAGTGAAGTTTCCTGAAACTTCTAAACTGGGCAGATTCCATGCTAAACTGATTTGCGCCACTCCAAATCACCCAGAAGCTACTTATCAAACTTAATCAAGATTTACAGTTTCTTTGTTACAACTGAGGAGCAGAAGTCAGCCTGGTCATTATACTGAATCTGATCCAATATTTCTATCAGATATTATGAATAACATTTTTTTTTCCTTTTAACAATGTCTTTTTTATGTAGAACTGCCACATGCTAGAGTATGAACCTCACTAAGGGCATGTGTTTGATAGCTGCAAAATGTACTGTTACAGAAAATGAGACCAAAGGAGTTGATTGCTGAAAATATATAACTCATTCAAGAAACACGAAACTGAGTTGCACAGAATCATACTTACTAAGGGCTGCCTGTACTGTTATAGCCTCTGACTCTTGTGAGTTTTCACTGAATCCTACAGCATTCACAGCTTTCACACGGAAGACATACTGCTCTCCAGTTTCCAAACCATGAACAACAAACCTGGGTTAAATAAAATAACATCACCTATTAGTATATATCTTACAGGAACCATTCTGTGTTGTAACATGAAATCTTGGCAACAATAAGAAAGCTCAACTTCATGAATGCTTCGCAAAGTATAATATTTCCAAGAAGATGTGGTTTAACCCCAGCCAATAACTGAGCACCATGCAACTGCATGCTCACTTCCCTGCCCCCATTGGGATGCGGGAGAGAATTGGAGGAAAATGGTAAAAAAACCTCATGTGTTGGGATAAGAACAGTTTAATGATTGAAATAATATAACATATAACTTAATAATAATAATGATAATAATAATCTGTAATATTAATAATAAATTGTAATGAAAAGGAAAACAACAGGGGAAAAAAAGAGACAGAACCCAAGAAAAACAAGTGATATAACTGCTCACCACCCGCCAATAGATGACCATCCAGTACTTGAGCAGCAATCACACCCCCCTGGCCAATGCCCCTCAGTTTATATACTGAGTATGACATCTTATGGCATGGTATATCCCTTTCGCCAGTTTGGGTCAGCTGTCCTGGCAGCTGAAGGGCACGATGAGAAACTGAAAAAGTCCTTGGCTTAATGTAAGCATTGCTTAGTAACAACTAAAACATCAGTCTGTTATCAATATTATTCTCAGTACAAATCCAAAACATAGCCTTATACTAGCTACTGTGAAGAAAATTAACTCTATCACAGCCAAAACCAGCACAGATGAAAACCATAACACAAAGATGTGATGTAGTAAAACATAATTGGGCTGAACACTGGAACAAAAGTCACAGTACTCATTAAATTGGTAGTGTTGATCTATCAGAGAGAGGCAGACCATAGAATCATAGAATGGTTCAGGTTGTAAGGGACCTTAAATATAAACTATAATATATTACTTCTGAGCTTTGTCTTGCTAAATTCTAATCTGTTCTGGGAAGGGATTGTATTTTTCACTGGATTGTCATAGTTGCTATCAAAAATAGCTTTCAGTTTTGATCTAAGGATCTAGGTGATTATTGTAGCAGTTATAGACAGAACTATTCTATTGTAGGATATGTTCACGTATGAACAAATGAAATGTTTTTCTTATTTTTGTGCTGTCCCAATCGCTTTGACCAAGAATTAATCTCTACTTTTTCTTTGATCAAATTCCTTGTCTACTTGATCAAAGGATTAAGCAGAATACAGTGTCATTCAAAATTAATTAATAACTGACAAAATATACTAAACAACATGATGTGCTTTTTATATACCCATAAGAAAATATAAATTACCCATCTAAACTTTGCATTTGGTAAGTGATTTCAATAAAATCACACTGGACTTTCACAAAACAAATTACTTGAAGAATCATATAATGAAGTGTGATTATTTTCAGGAGGAAGTAAGAAAGCATCAGAAATAAACAGGGCTAGTGTCATGACAAGGGATCTAGAAATAGGGGCTACAGTGCTTTACCCATAGATGTAGCAGGTCAGGGAGCCTTGATGTTTCTGGGATGGGACATTTAGATTTCCTGCACAGCAGTCTCAGCAGCGGAAGCATGTTTATAGCAGACATGGCCCGCCCCTTTGCCCTGATGTCCATGGACTATGGGCTTTAGAAGGAAACACCCTGGAAAGCTTTTGAGTTCCCTCTCCTTCTCTTACTCTTCTTCATGTGCATCAGGTCTGTTTACCCCATAACATAATAGAGACGTAGAGAGTAATTTCTGGCACTTAGGGCCATGGTTTAGTGGTGAACTTTGTAGTGTTAGGTTAATGCTTGGACTCAATGATCTTTCCAACCTAAACAATTCTATGATCTTGAGTCCAAGACATACAGAGACATGTCTCTAGAACCTGCTTTTACAACTCAAAGTTAAGGAGTAAACAAATTATTTCTTTTTTTAGAGAGAAAGAAGAAAAAACAGGAGGCAGGGAGAAAGTCTGCCTTGCAACCTGAAAAGCTTAAGTCCGAGAGTCTGTACACTGTTTTACTTCACATTGATTCAACATTCACCTTAGATGATAAAATCATTGCTTAGCACATGAATTGGCTTAAAACTTTACGGTTTTCAAACCTCCACAAAATACAGAAGTATTGTCAATACCTGTTGTATTTAATAGGTTTATGGTTACAAGGTTCCCAGTGATTAGATCCCACCACAGAACAGTCAATGTAGTAGCCATATAAATCCTCTTCATGTTTTGGTTTATCCCATTGAACTACAACTGATGTTTTTGTATTCCTTGTGGCCACTACCCGACCAGGTGCAGATGGGACAACTAAGAAAAAGAGAGAAAACATATACTATTACAAAATATAACAAAAGAAAAGATGGCTAAGGTACATCCAACACTATATACTTTCATCATACTTAATCACTACAGCTACTACTTCTCCTACCATGTTAATGTTGCTATATGATATATATTTCAGTACATTTGTTTCACTGTAAATCTTGATATTTCTACATATGTGCATATAAATATTTTTTTTTCTATTTGTTTACTCAAAGTAAATTTATTTTAAACTAAAAGGCTCCCTACCTGTCTGATTTTATATAGGATTTCTGAGGAGTGAGTTCTAGAACATATTTTCAAATATCAGTGTGGATAACGGCATACAGATAAGAAAATACTTACTTTCAAATGTTCTCTCTAAAATAAGAAGTTTATGTATAGCTTATGTCCCTGTAGCACTCCTGCATTGGCAAGAAATCCACATAAACTGTAAGTGCATTAAGAGATACTGCATTCCAGCCAGTTAATGTGAATACCAATTCAAAAAAGACCAGCTTTTCAGGACAACTTTAATCATATGTTTGAGTGCTAAGTGTTTAGCTAAACTTAGCTAGATAGATTTCACAGAAGCATAGGAACGTTGGTTGGAAGGTATCTCTGGGGATCCTCTAGTCCAACCTACCACTGAGACGGGTATTATCACCAACACTAATGTGGATTGTCAGTCACAAGTTTGTCTGAGCCTTGAAAACTTCTGACAGTGGAGATTTCACAGCTTCCCTGCACAACCTCTTCCAGCATTGCACTCTTGCACCCTTTTCTCTAAGAGAGTATGCCCAGCCTGAACTTACTAAACTACAATTTGTTGCCTTTTTTTTTTTTTTGCCATCTAGCATTGCTGAGAACAGTTTGGCACCATCATCTTTGTGAGTCACCAAACGAAACAAGTCTAGCTACCTCCACCTCTCTTCACAGGTCACAACCTCTAGGGTCCTGGCCATCTTGGTTGCCATCCAGTGGACCTCTGCAGTTCCTCTACATCCATCCCTCTAGACTAAGAGACTCAGAACTAGAACATCCAGGAACAACCTCAGCAGCAGCAAGCAGAGGTGGATGAATCTTCCTTCAGTCTGTTGACTACACTTCTACCACTGTAGCATAGTACGCAGTTCACTTTACAGGAAATTGAAGTTCATTGTCGGTTTATATTGATCTAAATACCTTGAATGTTCATAAATAGAACCATAGACACAAAGACCTAAATGGGAATAATATCTTAGTACAGGCCAACATACAGTCTGTACACTATAAAATATCTATATGAGCTTCCATAATGTAAGGAACTAAGGCACTGTCTCAGCCTTTCATGATAGGTTAAAAGAGGTATCCAGCACTTGACTTTTGAAGTCATCTTAGTTTCCTCAGATTGATATATTGCAGACAACTACAAGCAGCATAAAACGAAAGAAAGGGAGCATTTTTTTCATTTAGTCTTTCAATCTCAAAATAAAAAATAATACACACTATTGTACTTTATGCAGTAAGTCTGTAAGATCAAATGGGTTCAATCGGAGTTAAGTTACCTCCATTTAGGAGTTTATGTGTGTCTACAAGTACATGTCATTAAGCTGCCATTTTAGTAAAAAATCTAGGATATAATTCAGTTACCCAAACTCATCTAGGGTCATTATAGAGCACTTGAGACTTCTTCATGGAGCTGCCAGATATGACTAAAAAGATACTGAATACCTATAACCTTCTGAAATGGCAAACTAAAAACATTTGAAAAGGTACTAGATGTCTGTTTGGCCAATTAAACTGAGCCTCTGATCTGTGGTTGGCATAGTACTGAAAATTATTCATCTCACCCCAGTGTAGACACTCCATAGCTGGGTGCCATGGGGCAACTTACAGCAATATCAGTCAACTTATCCTCCAGGCTCCAATTGCCACAGTGAGAGCAGAGACACCTAGAGCACCTGTAGATGTCCACATGCAAACACCTAAATTTAGATGTTAATCTCAAACTCAATTCAGTTACATAATATTAAATATCATTTTGGATGGCCTAGGAAACCCCATCCATACTCTAGTTTCTGCTCAAGAGAGGAAGCTACCCATAAGTCCTGTGTAATTATTGCAATCCCCATGAAGTTGTCTTGGCTACCCTCAGGAATGTCAAATGGCGCTACATGCAGGTACCTAAAAGGAGCCATTTGTGTCTGATATATTTTAGCTCCGGTGGTAAACTCCATCTCTGAAAACATTCCTGCAGTTTCTCTTTAAAATAGCATCTTCTGCTTTCTGCTTTCAGCTATAACTATGATTTATTTAGAACGTCTCGTGTTAACCCCTAAGGGATAGCCTATTTTCTGTACTAAGTGAAATAAATGCAGTATTTTTCTTCCCTACCTTGGGGAATGTTGAATGGTTTCAATAATTTATATGCATTAATGAGACATCAAATCAAGAATACATGAAAGGAAAAGATGTTTTTATTTCATCAAGCTAAAGGTGATGGATTATATTTTCTAAAATTAAGGTAAACATTAAGAAGAGTATATCTATCAACATTTAGTGAACTACAGTATATCAAATACTGTAAATATTTTTTATATTTTTTGCAAGTGTACTAGTAAGAGATGTGCTCTTAAGGTGACGGCTGTCAATACATGGGACAGTTACATGTGACTTAAGCAGAACTGCAAGAGCAAACCAAACATTTGAGCAACAAGATGAATAACTACTCCTGAAGTTTTCACTTGTGTTTTTGAATGTGTCCCGAAGATAAACACTTCATTTTAATTTGGAAACTTACTACTGAATATGTAGAGGTATCTTCTGCTTTCTCTGAAATCTACTCATCTGCATGCCACAGGAATGCTGCACCAGTAGTAATTTGCAACTTAGAATACTAAGAAAGAAATGAAAGGCTACCTTATCTAGCTGAAACTGTAGGGAATTAGGTACCATAAAGTTACCTGAGCCAGACAATATAATTATCTGAGTTAGCGATTAAAGTGTATTATCCTATTCTTGACAAGTCACATTAATAGAGCACTGAAGAATTAATAACTAAAATGAATTCAACTTTGTAAAAATTGTTGGTCTCAGCAAGCAAACTTGTGATCATTGGGAAAATTTTGGAATGTTTCTAAAATTTAGCAACTTGGTCTTTTGAAATCCTTCACTGTATTGAACATAAATCAATTTGATATTTATGATTGCAGTTATACAAATCTAATTATAATGAGAGTTGCCTATTTCCATTTTGTAAAATATCAGTTATATTTAATATTAATCCCTTACAATTAATGCCTTACCAATGGTATCTTGTGGTTGAATAGGTTGTGTGATTTCAGATGGATCACTGATGCCATGCTTGTTTGCTGACAAGACTCGGAAAACATATGATTTTCCTTCTGCAAGGTCAAACACTGCATAACGAGGAGATTTTACTGCAACCTGTGGATTGACTCTTTGCCAGCTTCCACTGCCAACCATGGACTACAAAAACAAAAACAAACAAAAAAAAGATGTGAATCACTTCTGTGAACTGTCAAAAAAATGAACATATTGCTGTATTGCATCCTGTCATGAATTTATTTAAGAGTTATATGAGACGGAACACTCTCACATGCCTCACTTTAACATATGCAAATTCTCATGGCTCACGCATTCCATTACTCTACAAAAAAGTCTAAATACCTCACTGACTCCCTGCCTGTCTAGACTTCAATATATGCACACTCTTACATACAGCTAGCCTTCGGTTAGGGCCATAACTGCCAACTGTGATTGGTCCCAAAAGGCTTACTCTGCTGTGCTGCAAAACCCACTTGAACACCCAAAGGTTTGATATAAAGCAAGTAAATCCTAATTCAAATACTGCAGAAAGCTGGGGTGGAAAGGGGAGATGTTACTTTACTCACTGCTTTGCTTTATCTTTATGTATTTTGTTGAGTAATGTAACATTCCTAAAAATCATTCCTCAAGTGAAATAATTACTTTTGAATACTCTCAAGCCAGTAGCTGAGCTAATCATCATCACAACTGCACATGGAAGAGAGCAGCAAACCAGCACTCTGAGAGAAGTCTGCTGTCCATTAGGTTTCCCAGATAAACTGTTGAGCCAAACCAAAAATTAGTCATGGAATCTTTCAGCAATTCTAGTAAAACCCAAGTGCTCAGTAAATAGCTTAAATATAATTTCCTTCAAGCACAGAATGGTGCGTACAAATTAAATGTTTATAACGTTTTGGAACAGAGAGTTTGGGAACAAAACCCAATAGACAGTGAACTTCTTAGAGGAGGAACAGTGTTTCATGGGTGCTTGGAAACTACCCTGTATATAATGAAGCCCATTATAGATAAATAATAATGTAAACAGTTGGATCTCATATATCAACATATTTTTCATAGATGCTGAACCCACCCAGTGTTCTCAAAAGAAAAAAAGAAAAGTAACATCCATTTTCTTCATAATAAAATGATGGAAAATATGAAATAAACATTTTTTTTTGCTATATATTTTACTTTCTGGTATGAAAATCATTAATTGTTGCATTTCATTTTCACAGAGTATCAACATCACATTTTATTCTGTACTTTGGTTTGATTTATCTAATAAATAATGATTTTGATTGAACATTGTCATACAGCATGGAGAACTCATTTCCATTTTGTGTTTCTTGAAGCCTTTAAAAAAACCATTTTTATTCTTCAGGACTGTCTTCTTTATTTGAAATAAATGAATTAGAAATTGTACTTTTCTAAATTAACAGATTACTGTGGAAAGCAAAAAAAGCCAAACATTCACCTATGAACTAGGTGAATGAACCATTCACCTATGACTGAGCTATTCATATATATAAATTATTTATATGTAGAAAGATTTCAAATTCAGGTTAATTAGTATAATGAACCTTTTCTTCTAATAATAGCCTTTTAGTCCTCATTCTCACTTTCCCTCAGTGAGTTTGGCATTTAATTAAGACTTGTTTGTTCATCATTCTCACTGATCTATACTGTTTCTCTAGCTATATAAAGCTATTTCTGTAAAACAAACAGCTACATATATTTTCTAAATCATACTTAAAATTAAATTCAACTAATCGAGCATAGGTGTCCGCTCAATGGAAATCTACACCTGAGCTTTTCATCTGGGCTATTTCAGCATATTCTGGAAAAAAAAAAGAAACGAGCTATTGTCATGCCAAGAGCTGGTTCAAAATCCTTAAGTAAGTATGCTTGACATTTATAGATAAGAGCAGATGTATGCAACTGGGAATAAGTACAAGGAAGGCATGTTATTTTATTGCATAGAATGAATACTAGATACTTATTTCTATGGAAATTTTTGTTTCTTCTTTTGAATGTGAAAGGCAGAGTGGGAGAAATCATGGACATGCTTGGTGGAAAATTTAACTAGTGGCTGGACTTCACCTTACACCTATTCATCATCACCCAGCAAGTAATGGATGATAGAGAACATAGACATGGGCTATAAAGGTCCTTTGAAGTGGAGATTTTGATGTGACTGCAAAGGAAAAGACAAGATTGAGGCTAGAAAAAGAGGAGTGCTGTGAACAAAATGACTGGCTGGGAAATGAACTTTGGAGGAACATGCTGGACAGATGTGAGAAGAAAAAAATTGGATGATAAGGGCCTGAGAAAAGGCTGTCACAAGATTCAAGATGCAAATTAAATGTGTGGCAGTTTTATGGACATTTTTAGTGTTTGTAGATCGTTAAGAGGTGGCATATGCGAGTGGTATAATTCATAAAAACTAAGTATAGCTTGGCACGTAAGAGTTTTAGAGGTCAGGTATGAGACCTAATTTACCTACTAGCAAAACTTCGTAGCAAGGAGGAAAGATTATGAACTCTGGCTGTAATCCAATGCACTTAATTTAGAAACCTGACTTGGGGATGGATGTATCTAGATCTTAGTAGTTTAGATGGGAGAAGAACAAACCTCCCCTACTGTGATCACTGAAGTATTCTGTCAAGTCAAAGGGAAGAGAAAGGCAGCCTCAGAGACTACCAGTGAGCAGTGAACTTCAGACAGGCATCTGCCTCTCCACTGACCTTACAGGGATTAAATTGGAAATGTCAGGGTATAGCAGAGGGTGCCATAACCCTGCAAAAAGGAAAATGAGGATCAAATTATGAGTCACTTCCTTGCTCTGTCACAGGACAACCAGAAACTTCCCTTTAATACAGGCAGACTTTAAACTTCCAGTCTTGCTTGTAGGACTGTGAAATCTTAAGATGTTTCTTTTCCATTAAACCACTACCTTACACATGTAGTTTGTTCTCATTTTAGACAGCAGTAAGAAAATACCACAGGGGCATCCTTTTCCACAGACCTTGAAATTCAATGCTCATTAAATCATATAATAAGACTTCTGATTCTCCGTGCTTCTCTAACATCCCATTACCAAATCCTGCGAGACCTCAGGAAGTATTTGTTTTATTGTTCATCTGTAGTTCTAAAAATGAGTTGAATGTAACTGCACATAGCAACAAAATACCTTACAGCTGAATGCCACTGTACAGTACCTTCTCAATGAAATACGTCAGTGGCTCCTTGCCACGGGGAACAGGTGGATCCCAGCTGAGTACAACATATGTTTTGCTGATTTCTGAAGCATGTACATTGGTGGGAGAGCCTGGAATCTGAATATCGCCTGGAAAAGTAATAAAAGTAGCAAGTGTTAAACAGCAGATTAACCCCTGGATCAGCACTGATGCTACAGTTCATCTTTCTGAACTCCCACCCCGTAATGCAATGCTCAGTTATCAGTGGCTACGATGTCATCTGTGTAGTTCACTTGCTCACTTCAATTAAATTTTGAGAAATGAAGCATCAGTATTAAAAGTTAGTTATTTATTTTTTTCAGTAAAAGTTAAATATGCCCCCTGAAAACTGGTGCATTTGTCACAACTTCTTTCTTTGATCACATTTGAATTACTTCTATCTGCTGGGCAGAATGCCTCGGAAAAAACCTACTCACTACATGAAAATAAGAGATATTTTTTGATCAAAGACAGAAGTCCAAAGAGTTATTACAAGAAATTAGACTAGAAGAAGATATCTGGAAGTACAGTCAGGAGAAAAACAGCTTAAAACAAAGCAGAAAACGTTAAAGGAAGAAGAACCTATTAGCAATGTAACCTGTAATGTGATAGCACTGCCAGTCGTGTAGTTTAAAGCACTTCTAAAATCTGTGTATCAGAGACATAAAAATATGTCACCAGCCCCCTGGTGACTCCACCAGTTGTGTCCTGCTCAAAACCTTCTCCCCACTCACCCTGCAGGGTTACCAGGAATGTGAGGCAGGACATGCGTACCCTGGGCCAGGCTAGAGGAAACCAGTAGTGAGCCTTTGTGGTTACGCTCACCCACCACAGCATGAGAAGAAGAGGGTTTTGCTATCTGAGGGATTACATTGGTGTGAAACAGCAGTAGATAGGAGAGGCTTGCACCTATGATGAACAGCTTCAGGCAGAGCTACACACCTCTGAAGAAGCTTCCTCTTGGTAACAGGTCATAAATAGCAACTCAGCAGATACTACAAATACTTTATTTTTATGGCTTGCAATGGAGAAAGCAAAAAGTTTCACTCTTTTGAGGTACATTTTGCCACTTCTCAGGCTAGCAAGGAGCATATCACAGAATCACAGAATCACAGAACGTTAGGGATTGGAAGGGACCTCAAAAGATCATCTAGTCCAATCCCCCTGCCGGAGCAGGAACACCTAGATGAGGTTGCACAGGAAGGCGTCCAGGCGGGTTTTGAATGTCTCCAGAGAAGGAGACTCCACAACCTCTCTGGGCAGCCTGTTCCAGTGCTCTGTCACCCTCACTGAGAAGAAGTTTCTTCTCAAATTTAAGTGGAACCTCCTGTGTTCCAGCTTGTGCCCATTACCTCTTGTCCTATCATTGTTTGTCACCGAGAAGAGCCTGGCTCCATCCTCATGACACTCACCCTTTAAATATTTATAAACATGAATGAGGTCTCCCCTCAGTCTCCTCTTCTGCAAACTAAAGAGACCCAGCTCCCTCAGCCGCTCCTCATAAGGGAGATGCTCCACTCCCTTGATCATCTTTGTAGCCCTATATATATCCTATCCCTATATATCCTCTAAAAGCTCAGGATCTGACAGCAAAAGTGAGAAAAATGTTTCAATAATAATCTCTAAATCATGGAAGTGATATTTTAACAGTTTATAAATATCTGTAACCAGGCTCAAACACTGAAGTTATTTTATTGTATATGTTTCCCAATCAAAACCAGGTTTTTTTAAAAGCAAAGTGACATGTCCTGAGAAAATTTATTTTCCCTCAATGCTTTCTTATATTTTATTTCCTACAAACACACTTTTTCTTTAAGAAAGGCACATGAATTGGCTGAGTTTAAGATAAAATTGCTACATACAGTCAAGAAAATTGCAATAATCCTTCACAGCATAGTACATAAAGTCAAAAGGTTTCCAATTGGTTTCACATAACTAAATCTCAACATGTTTTCTTACATACTTGAAAAAACCCAAAGCTGACATAGTTTTTAATGATATGACGTGATGGTACAGCCTGCTGTCTTAGAATGGAAGGTCATCTGGCCCTAAAAAATGAAATCCATTTGTGATCAGTGTGATCTCTTTTTCAGAAATGGTCTCCTATCTTGCAGATTAAAGTAATGATCTATATAAACAATGGTATTTGGATATTCGTACTCCTTTATTAAATATGCAACTTCATGAAACAGAAGTCCAAATATTATTATTCATGCTTATGCCAGAGTAGTCATTTAATATTTCCAATCATTCTCAGGCAATGCTGAGAGCAGGAGTATGTTCTTGGAAGCCAAACACGAAAGACAAATGTATTCTGATCCTATAACGTGTTTCGGATTGTACAATGTCCATATCACTTCATTTAGGGTAGCACTGCAGAAACAGAGAAACTTCATCTATCCTGTGTGTGCACTGGAGAAAACATTTAATGTCTGATTCTCCTTCAAACTACACCTGTTCTCAGATGTTTTTTTTTTTTCACTATGTTATTAATTGTGTTACAGCTTTACAATCTTTGTGGTAGAGGGGTTTTTTTACTACTTAGCCACTATAGTTAACATTTTTGACAGTTTAAGTAAAAAGAAGACCATTATCCAAGCTCCCCAAAAAATCACTACACATAGAAATAACCAAATACAGAAGAATTTCAGGCTTTATCTCAAAAGTTGGCAGTGATCTTTCCAGTTCTTCTGAGGACAAACAATATTTAGGGTATAACCTTAACCTTAAGAACCTCTTTTTTCAACCAGATGTATTAATAAAAGAATTGGAATTAATTGCATAAGTTTTTATTAAAATGAGAATAACTTGCTCAGATCATCAAATTCAGTTTATAAAACTGTATTTAGCTCCCACAAGAATAGGAGAAAGGGAAATGGGGATTATCAAATGCAATGTTCAGTTGCTTAAACTCAGCTTAGCACTAGCAAAGCAAAAAGGTGAGATGTGGTCAGCACACAATGAAAGTAATGCTGTTGAGGGTGTGATGTTCTCTGTCCTTTTAGACCTCAGCTTTCACTTGTGTTCTCTCAGACTTGCAAGCCAGAATTTCTGTCTTTATTTATTATTATAAAGAGTTTACTCACTACTTTGATTTCTTTTCAAGCTATGTTTCTAATTATAATGCTAAATTTCTGGGATATAAACAGATGGACTGAAATCAGAGAAATGCTACATACCTTCAAGGTCATCCTTGCTGATCACAATCTTTCTCCCTTCATCCACATGAATAGCTGTTAATCAAAATATTCAATCAGTTTCTTGAACCAGTTTAATATATTTGCAAATTTTCCAAATTATTGTTCACCAGCTGTTCAAAAGCCGGTATACCTCTATTTCTACAAGCTTGCTATTAAATCTTTCCAAAGATGGAGTCAACTCAAAGTCATACATTGCTTCATTCACTTTCATAAGAAAACAGAGCATGATAAGACAGTGCTAGAAAGCAAGAATCATACTCACAGTAGATGGATTCAGTTCTGTGGCAGATTAGTAAACAATTGTATCATGAATTGGAATTTCGTTATAGGAATTAATCACAAAGCTAATGGAAACATAACATATTAAACTCAGATTTTACAAGCAACATTGAGGCAGTGCTCTGCAGTCCTCATAATGAGTTTAATTCCCCTCTGAGTAAAAAAAGCACACAAAACAGAAGGTGTGCAAGCACACGATATACGGAATCTGCACAGGGCTTTAGGACAAGGCTAAATCAATAAAACTACTCCCCAGAGCAAGCCAGCTTACTCTGTTCATGGAGAAGCTCTCATAAGGCTTCTTTGCAGTCTGCAGTGGCCTTGAGCATAAGACTGGCTTTCAGAAAGAGCTTGTTCATTAGACTCACTTTTTCCATCTGGCAGAAAAGTCACAGTACTACAGAGTCCCCATCCTGTAGTGCAGTGGCTTTGTGCCAGTACTGCCAGTACTCAGTGAAGAGGAAAAAAAAGTGGAAAAATACAAGTTTGCAGGCCAGTGAATTCATATGACATTTTTTATATTTTCTTTAACTAAAACAGATATATTAAATAGTTTTTTCAAAAGTTACTACCAGCAAACTGGGACCCATCTCCCAGTGCAAATGATAAAAGCTTCCAGGACATATTACCTCTTTTGAAAATGTTGCTCCTTGTGACAATGAGCGTCTGTGTTTAAAACTAAGCAAAACCAGCCATAATTGAGAAGGAGTTCCCAAGTCCTAACAAACTGTCTGAATGGACCTTGACATTCTAGCTAAATCCCCCACCTTCAAATTAGTGAGATAGTCAATCAAAGGAAGAAACAAACTCTGCTTTTTAGGTTAACTAAGAAAACAGAATCTGGAAAAGAAAAAAAAGGATCAAATATTCAACATCTGTTTCAGCCTTGTATGACCTACTTTGTGTTCTTTCCAGGTCAATGGGATCAAGAGCTGCAACTGGTTCAGAGACTCGAGAAGGCCTGCTAATGCCAGCACTGTTCACTGCTCTCACACGGAATATGTAAGATCGTCCCTCGTAAAGACCAGTCACAGGATACTTGCAGACTTTTACAGGAGCATCATTGCACTGGACCCAGTTTTCCAAACCTACTTCACATCTTGGAGTAGCAGAAGACAGCATTTATCAGTATCACCCCACAGTAAACATATACCATGCTACACACATCAATTCAGAATCACAGAAGTCATCCTCACTAAGTTAAGGAACTAAACCATTTGGTTTGATTATAACTCCATTTGGTTCTTTTCCTTGTCATATAAAGAACAAGTTAGTCACTTTTATTTTTAACATACATCCCCACAGAACACGTTGAAATTGCAACCTTCACCTAATCTTTTCAGTCTCTTTCTTGTCATATTTTTTAAGCAAGCATCTTTGTGCTTTTCCTTCCAACAATGATTGGGCCTCCTACAGAGTGCAGGAGTCATCCAGAAGCAGCATGATGTCCTCATATTGGCTCTTTTGTGCGTACATGTCTGTTTTATGTCCTAGTGCTACAAACTTTTGTGGAAAAGACTACCTTTTGCCCTGATAGTGCCAGGAAAAGTAGGGTCACGATCAAGGGCTCCTTGGTGCTGCAGTAATCCAAGCAAAATGTCAAAAGGCACAGCTGACTAGATTAGACACAAAATAGGTGAAATACTCCCATGGTCTATGCACTGCACAAATTGGATATAAATGGTAGAGTCCTCAGGGCTTGAGTTAATTTCCTTATACTGACTGCCATTCATAAGCCAACATTTTCCAGCAATTCTCAGACAGTTGTCTCTGAGCTAGACCAAATTACAGAGTAGCAAATAGCTATGAGCTACAAATGTTGCTTTTAAATGTAGAGGAGTATGAAATTATTTCAGTAATGTTTTTGCTAACTGACAGTTTCAGACACTGAGGATCAGATGTTCTGCTCTGACTACAAGGGGAAAGGAATGCACTTCAGTGGGAGACATGCAAAATAGTGCTTGGATACCCTGATCCTGGGATGCCTGCACTGGGCTGGAACCCCAGCAAAGTGCAAAGCAGACTGGAGGAGAGAGGACTCCCATTCTGTTTTAAACTACCAGCTCCTGGGAACCTATATCTTGAGTTCCTGGTGTACCACAAGGAAGGCAGAAATAAAAAAATAATGTAATAATTTCTAATTTCAGCTTTTGTACTGTTAAAGAGACTAAATCTGATTCAAAATGCCCATGAATTCTGGCTTCTATAAGTTAATTATTGCCAAGGCTCATACTCTGATTTGGCCACATCCACACTATTGAACATTTTCAGTGTCTGATAAAGTGTGGCTGCCTGCAAATGATTACTGGGAATAGACCCTGACCCTCATTAACTCCCAGACTATACCCAGAATTACCTGTGAAGGTACTAGATCACCTGGGCAAAAGTTTGCCAGGAAACAATTGAGTAATTTAACACAGTAGGGAACTGAATCCCAGTGCCTAAGGTCCATAAAAATATATCTAAAGAACTCATGTTTTGAAGGATATAATAGGGTTTTTTTCTTCAGTATATATATGTTTTTGGCAATGAACAAAATACAATAAATCCCAATGTTTACATACTTGTCAACAAAATATCCAATGACTGGGCTCTCACTGGTTGTGTTAGGTGGTTTCCAGGTAACAATAACATAGTCTCTGTTAGCATCATGGCATGTAACATCCATTGGTGCTCCCGGTGCTCCTGCAATCAATGCATCAGCATCTAGACCACAAATAAAAATGAATGAGTTTTAAAATGGACTTCTCTGAAATCTACCACGAAGGAAAAATTGAGGTTTCCAGTTCACTCTGCTATTTGTTTATCTGAATGGGAGCCCAAAGATTTCATTACACACTAATTCACTGCGCTAGTGGATAAGGCTCATAACGTCTATAACCCCACATAGATAAAAATGTTCAGGGATATTTTTGAGGGCAGAAAAGTGGTTTAGGCATCAAACATCCATTACTTTTCCTGAGAATTAAAAGCCTAGCTACCCCATGTGTTTTTGATGTTCTTTCCCACTAAAAGCTGTAGCTCAGTGGATCACTGATCAGACCAAGGTACTCAGTAAAAAACATGCACATGAGGAAAATAAATCTCTTAAGGAAGAAAAAATTTGCAAACTCCTGGTACATTTCTAAGGCTACATTTTCTCTGAAGTCTTAAAATACCAGCAGGCATAACCATTAAGATAACCTTCTGTGGCTTTATTTTGAGAGGTGTTACTGATGTGGACCCACAACTCCTAATGAAGTCTCCTAACAGCTAAAGTTCTTGACCTTCAAAGAAACATTTCTATAACATAAAATCATTCTCCATAAAGTCTAAATTTATAGAATCTAATTGCAATCAGTTGTGAGGTTGCTGGTGCTTAGTATTAGATCACAGCCTACATGAAAAAGGCAAGAGAAAGGCTAGCAGAGGACACTAGAGAGTCCATAGGATATAGCTCAAGTTCAGCATCCTATGCATGCAAAGGGATCAGACATAGTATAAAATGGACAATAGAGGTACTTAAAATTGACCCACTACTACAACAAAAATCTTCTAGGAAAGTTATTACACATTAGTGGGCCTTTTTCACCTGGGTACCTTTTTTCTTAGAAGGTAATTGGGAAACAGAAAGCTTTAGCAAATTGTTTCCAGTGAGATCAGGGTGGCAGAGTGGCTTGTGCAGAACATTGCAAAGCTGATGAAGACCTTGCACTAGTCCTGTGAGGAAGATGGATCTCAACCCCCTGAAAAAACATTCATGTCCTTCAACCCCACACAAACTGCTTGGATGACACTTTTGCAAGACACTTATGTTCCAATACATTTCCAAGAAGAAAGAGGTTTAAAATTAATACAGTTTCAATAGCATCAGCAGGGACACTCCAGTTTGCCACCATCAAGGATGCTGTCCAACATATTTAAGAGAGCGAAAGAACTGCTCAGCGAGAGATATTTTAATCTTTCAATGAAAAAAATTAAAAAGTGAAAATTAAGTTTGGCTTAGTTTAGCGGGCACAGTGGTTCTGGGTTAACGGTTGGACTTGATGATCTTAAAGGTCTTCTCCAACCTTAATGATTCTATGATTCTAGAGCATGTGGAAGCTAATTCTCACTTCATTGAGAGTTGTGTATGCAAATGTGAGGGAAAATACTGACCTTTTTTCTATTTTAATACATATATCTCCTTTTATCTGTGTCCCTTGTGAAAACTGTTTTTCTTCAGTGAGATAATTTCTTACTTTGCTTCTCTTCTCTGATTATTGAGATGACTGTGACTGGTATAGTGATGAAAATACTTAATTTGCTTTCTTGTGCCTCCCCTTAAGGCCAGGTACAGGATATGAGAGTGCTTAACAAGGCTCATTCCCAGTTGCCAATCCCTAGAGGACTGGTAGTATGCAAAGGTGTTTATATCCTACCAGGAAAGGGGATGACAAAGAAAGAAATAAGCAGTTTCTTCAGAAGAATGATTTATCTGGTTCTTCAGGTAAGAAAATGTCCTCAGGAGTATGGTCCTCTCAAAGCTCCCTATTAATGTAAGGTGACTGTTTTTCCTAGCACGGACTACTAAATCAAATTACTATAAAATACCACAAGGCTGGATTTCTTTTGCACTTCAGTCAATACAAGGAATTGTTTAATAAAATTAATCTTTCTACTGCTCTTTTTAATTTCTCCCCAAGAAACAGATTAAAAGTTTACCTCTGACAAACAGGTATGCACTGTATTCACTCACTCCACCTTTCGTAACCATACGCAGGGTATATAAACCTTCATCATCTTTGTTCAGATGGGTAAAGGACAGAGCTGCCTGCCCTTCTCCAAAATATAACTTCGTCCACTTGGATTCCTTTATCAGCACATCTGGAAGAGAAGTCCCATCAGACACATTACTATGCTGTACAAAGCAACCTACATTCTAGTGCAGCTCTGTGCTAATCAAGGGCACAAACTAACCTTTATGCTGGCTTTATTCAGAGAGACGGTGCTTTGATGCTATGAGAACACTACAGAGTAAGCTGCATTTCTCTAAACTTATTTCATCAGTGAATGTTAGAGAATATGAGGTGTCAGATTACCCTATGCAGTGCCGGCAACAGAATTTCCATCACTATAAGTTTTAATACACTGACAGAGAAAAATATTATCCACATTTTGAAACAATGACATGAAAACCTGTGATATACTCTGATGAATGTAGAGTGGAACTTAGTTTCATTTTTAATAACTTTTCCTACCCATTCAGGTCAAATGTCAGATTACTCAATTTCTTCCTTCAAGTTTAAAAACCAGATTTCAGATTAATCTGAAGACTGCTATAAATATATACCAAATTTAATCTTCAAGGCATGCCTGTTGAGCAGTGAATAAAATTAAATTTGAATCTCTCACAGGTGAGAGGTGGTGACCCCTCATTAATGCAAATTAATCTGATTGCATCGTAAAACCAGAGCAAAAGAATGAGTGGGATATTTTATGCTAGCCAAGGGACTTTTTTGTATCACACCTTTTAATAGTTGATTGGATTATTTTTTATTTTTAACTCACTAAGACCTACTGCATGCTAATTTATTGTAATCAATGCAGCAGAACTGTATTTAAAGGAGCTGAATATCTATAAATTTTTATTATTCTGTTGCTTAAACACACTTCAGAGCAGACACTTGCAAAGGAATCAGTTTTTCCACCTACCAGCTGCATTGCATAAGAAAGTATGAAAAAATGACACACATTCAGATAATAAAGCATCTGGAAGGCACACACTACTAAAACTTACAGCAGTAAATTACATAATTACCTAAGCAGACAGTTGTTTTCTGAGAAGTGTACAATGTAAATTCAGTCACATTCCTTCCCATGAGATCCTTAATCATGAGATCCTTACACAGAAAATCTGCATGCCCCCTTTCTGTCATGCATGTCACAATGGTATTGAGACTTTGTGTAGAGAGACATGAAGTGCTTTAAATGAAAGCAGAAAATGTCTTCACATAGAAACTTTAACTAATGCACAAGTTCTGTGGAAAATCCTGAAGAAAAAACAATGCTGAATGACCAGCACTACTGAAAAGTAGGTCACTTATTTAGACTCCAAGTTTAAGTGGAATGGTAGACACTCCAGTTTGAATATATAGAAACTGTAAGCAAGTCTGAATTGTCTATTAAGGCCAAAAACATCCATTTCCACCCTTTTCCTGTCACTGTGGAGGCAGTAATGTTTGGAAAGAACAGAAAAATTTCTCTCCTTCACAGAAGTCCAAAGAACCACTAGACCCCCTAAGAAAGCAGGAGCTCTCTTTTTTTAATGCAGTCTGGATGGAAAACTTTCTAGAAAAGCCAAGAAAAGGAGTAAACTTTTGAGGCCACAGACATATTCAGATGTTCTAATAGAGCAGGTATTCATGCATCTGCCATCACAACAGTATTACAATTACACGGTCTCATTACTGCACTCAAATTCCCAGTCTATTCACACATTGTGCTCTGTCACTTCTGCCAGTATTTACCAAAGAATGAGCTTTTAGGAGACTAACCCTCACAGGCAGTGTGACTCAAGCCTCACATGATGTTTTCAGTACATAAGATAATTTTCCTAAAACAGTACTCTGCTGAAAATTCATATAAAGAGTAGGGAATTACTATATACTGAAACTTCTTTTCATCATGTATTTTAGTCTGCTGAAGTTTCAGCTAAATTCTGTTCTCCATGATTTTAACTTCTGAATTCAATTATTTTATTCTAGATTGCAGTATAAATGGCTGCAGAATGCTGGTGCATGTAGCTTTATAATGTTTATATTTCATTAGAGATCAATAACAGAAAGTTCCTGTTACCAGCTGAACTCATATCCAGATTAGATACACATTCCTGAAATATTATTTTGATTTAGTTCTTTCAGTATCTTAAATTGTTCTAAGTGGTCCATGAATTATAGGCATCATATTCATGTTTGTCAAATCCCAAACCACTTTAGAATATTTGATTCCCTTGACTTATACACCCCTAGGATTCTAGTAGATATTCTCAATAAGGTTCATTCATGTGAAGCTTATTAATGCTGGATAAACACACATTTCTCTTGTGCATAATTATTAAAGGTAAATAATATTTGATTAACATGAAATGAAAAATTTTAGGGAAAATGCAGTTTGTATTAATGCAAGAGTAAAATTATTACTTTTGAAAAAAACAACCCAGAATATCTAAAACACATGGTGTTGAACAAATTATTAACCTTCGCATTGTTTACATTTAAGTACTGCCTCCAGCTCTCAAGAGACTCAACACAGGGAACGGTAGCACATAACAAAGGTTCATAGTGCATGAATTCCTGCTGTGTTTGGGAATGAGTTATATGAGCTGATGCACCTGTGCACCTCTCGGAAATATAGAGATCCACATATATGCAAACAAAGGACAAATCTAGGCTTGTTTGTATCATCTTATTTCCTGTAACATAAGTAGGATAGTGGGATGAAAGCCTATCTGACTTACCTATTGGCTTCATCGAGACCAAGTTTTCATCTCAGGTTTTCACAGGGTCAAATGAGGGGGAAAACTTAGGTCAAATAAGGGGGAAAACAAAGAGCATAATATTGTCACATATCAAGAGGAAATTACCTTGGCATCAGGAAGGGTTAAACTGAAAGGGCTGTAAGCTTCACTTATCCAGAGTGCAAGAACAATTCATGTTGGATGATTAGTGGAACATTACAGATCATCCCTTGAAAATTAGCAGTTCATCATATCAGCAGTTCCAAACCCGAAATTTCTGAGGTTTGGCACCTTGAGAAATTTGGCCCAGTAGGAGACAAAGTAAAGGTACCATGGAAATGGATGGCTCACCTTAGAATGAGATAAGCTATAATTTACAGTCATTACAAATCCCTATACATTTCAATGGGAACAGAATCTGGGTTGAAGGATGAGTGTTAGATTTTAGGTTAGCCACCAAACAGAAAAGCCATTTTTATTATTTCATATTTTTTGTTTTAGCAACATCTAATAGTTCCATCACAATGATGTATCCACAGTGATAGACAAACAGGAACGAAACAGTAAATAGCAGTCCTTTCCCTGAAGGATCAGATGCAAATCTATGTAAAAATATGATGTGTATTGAAACAAAAGGTATAACTAGCAGCAATAAAAGCATCCTTTTTCTGATTTTCCTAATCCTGAATTTTCTTGATTGCCTTATCAATCTTACTGTCACTTCTTAGTTTATGCACCACATTTTGTCAGCTATGGAAATTTCTGCCAGCTTACCCAGGACCAATGCAAAAATCAGTCTTGAGAGTCCACCATTCTCAAATGTAGTCCCTTTGGGGAAAGGTCTCACCACTCACAAATAGCCAAGGCCTTCCTTAAATCCTCAGGCAGAATATTTACATTTAGAATTCTACACAGAGATCATGGTTTATGAAAACTGTTGAACTAAACATCTACAATAGCACACTAGCTGTTAAATTTTAAGTTGTTAGCTTTATGTTTCAAGACCTTTCTGTGGTGCTACTCATGCAGGGTTTGTGTACCACCGACCAGAGTATATGATATGCTTCAGTGATGTTATTTTCAGTACTTTCAGTTAAGATTGCTTTATTCGGCACAGCATAAGATTTTCCTTGAGGCTCACACCCACACCTCAGTGCTTCAAACCTTGATTTACTCCTCTGTGAGTACCCTTCAGCTCAGTGGTTACAGCATTCAATTATAACTCATGGTCAAATCTACGAAGTGAGTTTGGATTTCCACCTAGTCAGTAAATGTTCTAACTATTGTGTGATTAGACAATATGAGGTTACCTCCTGTTGCTGTAAATGTGCGCTCAAGAAAAGTTTGACCAAGTCACTTAATTGAAAGACAGTGCAGGTCTATAAATTCTAACTAGAGATATTTGTTCTACTCTGAATTAAATCTGAGAATCTCAGGTTCTAAGCCTGACTTGTGTCCTCAATGTTTCCTTGAGGATTTTGTAGGTAGCTTCTCTTCAACGTTTTAACTTACCATCTCTATACCACTCAGCACGAGGTCGTAGTCTTTTCAGGTCTGGGGTGATCAACATAGAACACTTCAGTGTCAGTGTTTCACCTTCAGTTCCAAAGGTGACTCCAAACTTCTCCAGAAACTGGACATCAATGTGAGTGAAACAAACATCATACGAGAGGGGCACTATGCATGAGAAAAATAAAACATTCTTGAGTATAAGTAAATTGAACTTGGCACAAATAGATTACTGTCTGATCTGAACAGGAGATGGAGGTCTTTATTATACTGTATGCTGATCTAGAGATGCAGCTAGGACAGCAAAAGCATCTGGGCAGCTCCTGTTGTAACTGAATGCTTAGAAAACAAAGCCAGAAGCAGCAAGTTGTACTCAATTTTCTCATCGGTAAAGCATTACTCTGATAAGAGTACATAAACTAGCTGAGCAAAAAGAAAAAAGTTCTTACAGTGGAAGGGCATTATCCCAGCTGGATGAGGCTCTTCATCCTCTCTGAATCCTGTAAATAAACATAAAATAAACATTCAATGACATGAGCATAATATTTATTTCTTGTTTTAATCATAAAGTAGGACTTACTTCGCACAATCACAGCACAATTAGTTGATGCCTGCCCATGGACATTTGTCGCAACTGCTGAATAGGTAGCAGAATCATCAAAATCAGCTCTAGAAAGGGGAAGGAGGACAACAGATGACTCTTTATGCAAATACAAATTATCTTAATGATTGATATTACAAACTAAGCTACATTAACTCCAAGGAAAGTGTATAAAGCTCTTTTCTGGTGTCACACAGTGCAAGATGTTGATGAAAGACAATCAGAAGATTGGTACTGGTTTTTGCTGCAGTTTTATCACAGCTTAGTGTGCAGGCTGCATTAACTTGAGCAAACTGAAAATGACCTTTAGACAATGATCAAAAGAAGATAGCTGGAGGATGCCAGTCTGGTTATTCTCCTTCTGTATGTAACCTTTTTCCTTAATCTGTCTTGCCCTTCTGCCACATATTTTAAGAAAGAGACATGGATTAAAAGTACATGTGATGTTTGCAGAAATTCCTCCTCCTATGGCTATTCCCAACAGGCAGATACTGGCATTTTTTGCCTCTCTCATATCTCTCAGGGAGGCCAGAGGGAATGAAATAAAACCAGAGAAACTGACTAAAATTGTTCTGGCATAATATGTTTTGGCTTGATATGTTTTTAGTGAGAAAATATATTTATTATGAAGGGTCAATATAATGAAAAATACAGTTAAAAATAGTTACTTCAGGTAAAATAAGACCCAGTGATGGATTTTCTCACTTACTACATCCTTCCTTGATGAGGAAACCACATTAGCAAATATATGGCCAGATGCTAAGATATAGGTACAAACTTTGATGTCCCAGTTCTTTTCTTATTTAAAATGGGGTCAGTTAGGAGAAGAACTATTGACATCAAATTGAAGTAAAGGAAACTAAACTATATGCAAATATATTTTTTGTTCAAGTCCTCAAATTTACAGTTGAAATACATTTATTTGCTATGTTTCCAATAAATATAAAGTGACTACTGACTCAAAAAAAGTTAAAAATATTTTGGACTATTGTTTTGTAAAATTTAGATTTGGTAGAATGAGATTCCTCTATTTTGTTGAAAGAACTTAGTCTGAATGGAAAAACTATTTTGAAAAAGGGAGTATTACATTTTTTACATTTCAGAATTAATATTTCAATTTAAGATAATAATTTCAGAATTTACTTCTCCTTTGTTTTCAGAAACATACTAAATACTGTAATATTAAATAAAACATTTTGGCTTTGAATGAATAAAACTATTTTTGGTCCAATTCAATTTTTTTTTAACTTTTCCATTAGCCAAGTATTCTGCAATATATCTGTCAAACAAAATTGTTGATTTTTCTTATTTCTTGTAATTTCTATTAGGTTGAACCATCAGCTAATCAAAGTGCTGTCTGAAACACAAAATTAAATCCTGCTTCTGTGTAGTTCATTTAGAACTGCATTTAATGGAGGCCACTCTGAAATTTCCAGTGATGAGATATAATGTTCTGCATGCACGCACTTAGTTTCCTCTCAGAAGAACAAATTTGTATCTTTTTGGCAACTGCCAGATGAAAGGGTTGAAATTCTGGTTGCACTTGTCTTCTAAGAGGTCGTATATCCTGGGTGTGATAGAAGAAAGAATATGTAAAAGTGTTTGATGTAAATTGCATAACAGAATACCAATTTGGGGGTATGCAGCACCTGTGACAGGCTCATCAGACACCTATTTTTCGGCTCTTGCATATATTCTGGACAGTGTCATATCACAAAAATGATACTATCTGCACTGTGGTATCCACAACACAAGTTGATGAAAGCTGTATTAAATTGAGATCTATTTCTCTAAACATACAGGACTAACAGCTCCTCCTGGAGGCTAATCTTCAGCCACACATTTCACAAAATTGAGAGGTAAACTACAAAGTTTATCATACAATTAATTATCAAAGCTAGAGAGGTAAGTTCTAAGATTAGACCACTTAATCAAAAAGCCTGCAGTTGGGTATGAAGCTCTTGAGCACCCTATTACAGCTTTGACAGGCAAAGTCTGAAAAATAGTTTAATTGAAGTAGTAGGCTCAATATTATTCAGTATTTTTGTTTTGTTTTGTTTTCAGGAAGGATTTAAAAAAATGCCAACACCTGTTCACAGATAGATATAGATACAGATACAGATACAGATACAGATATAGATGATATATATATATGATAGATGATATAGATAGCTTAACTGATTCTGGTCTTGCTTGAAAACTGTCGAGCTTGGTGGCATTTCTTTGCACTATCTTCTTAAAAACAAGAATTGTTTTCTTACTATCCCAGTTTCACACTGTCTAATATTTGAGTAATAAAATGCCGAAGGCAATGCAAAACTGCAGTAAAACTGCAGTCTTCTTTCCTAGGACATCTTATAATGTCTCTATAATGAAATGTACATAATTCATACGTTTCTCACAACCCAGTACAGTGTCTTGCTATAATGAAAAAAGCTAAGAACAAATGAGGCATCTCAAAAATTTCTTACAGGAAGCAGCATTGCAGTATTGACTGTATTGGAACTGCAAGGTGTTCCTACCACTCTGCACTACATCCCTACTTTAAGAAGATTATATAGAGTATACAGTAAATGGTACATAGTACATATTATATTTAATAACATACAATATGTATTCAATACACTGTAGTTGTTCTCTCACGTAAA